ATCACTACATACCTAACAGAAAGGGTGAAAAAAAATTAGTAATGACACCAAATAATGACCAGGATGCAGAGAATTTGGGTCATTCATACATTGCTGATGGGAATGTAAAAATGATACAGCCACTCTGGAAAACAGTTTTGCAGTTCCTTTTAAAACTAAAAATGGACTTACCATATGACCCAGCAATTGCACTCTTGGGCTTAAATTCCAGACAAATAAAAACTTATTTTCTTGCAGAAACATAGATATGAATGTTCATGGCAGCATTATTCACAATAGCCCTAAACTGGAAACTATCCAAATGTCTTTCAATAGGTGAACGATTAAACAAAGCATGAGATGGTTCTCAACAACAAAAAGGAATGAACTATTGATATATGCAATGACTTGGATGAACCTCAAGGAAATTATGCTGAATGTGAAAAGCCAGTCTCAAAAGAACACATACTGCATGATTTCATTTATATAACATTCATGGAGTAACATAAGTGTACAGATGGAGGATGGATTAGTGGTTGCCTGGGGTTAGGAAAATGGGAAGGGGGAGGGTGGCTGTGGCTATAAAAACGTAGCCCAAGGGCATCTTGTGGCGATGGAAGTTAGGTATCTTTATAGTGGCGGTGATTCCATGAAACGACACATGTGATACTATTGCCTGGAGCTACACACACACACACATGCACCACACATGAAGATGATGAAATCTGAATAAACTCTGTAGTTGTTATCAGTGTTAACCTCCTGATTGTGATCTGGTGACATAGTTCTGCAAAGTGTTAACACTGGGGGAGGTGCATGTACATGTTTGGACAACTTCTTGAGAATCTACAATTATTTCAAAATAAAATGTTTAAAAAATAAGAATCAACATATCGCCCTTTCTACATCCCTTCTAGTCAACTGGCCAATCAACAATAGCAATTAACTGTGCCGGTGACATGTGGCTTAAGTGCAGAAAATTTTTAAAGAAGATAATCCGATCAAAACAACTGGAATAAGTGTGCTGTCACAGTCCCAGGAGTGATGGAGCCTACGGTCCCAATGAGGGCACCTGGGTAGGCACACTGAGTGA